CGATAGTGAAGAAAGTGACAGAGAGGTTATTGAAAACCAAAAAATTTCGATTGACAAGTTAGTCAGTATTTTCGACACAGCAGTTACAGGACTTGAACAGTGGAACTTCGTAACTGAACAAGAAATTATGTCTGTTTATAGTATTAAAGAGAAAGTATTAACGCAAAAAATGAAGCAACTTAAACAGCTTCCATTGAAAGAAATGTTTAATAAAGTAAACAAATAAATATTAAGTTTTTTTTTTTTTTTTTTTTTTTTTTTGTGTGTGTGTGTGGTGTGTAATTTTTGATACCCTTTAGATCATAATTGATCATCATCTTTATTTCATAAATTACAGTTTCATATTTTTAATTGTATAATTTCTGCATGCCATCTTACCAGATTTAAATTGATGACCTATAATCCGGAATCGCCGAAGTTCCAACGAATCCGGATTATGGACTTTGTACTGTATTCAATGACTGAGACTGCTTAAGTTCATGACAACTAAATTTTCTTTGCCATCAATATGTCGAATATCAGTTGAAAATTCAGATATATATTGAAGTTGGCATTGTTGCCTTGGCGTTGCTTTCTCATTCTTTTGTTTGTATGCAAATACCAAGGGCTTGTGATCAGTAAATATGATAAGCTCACTTCCTTCCAAAAGATGTTTAAAATGCTTGACAGAAAGATCTATTGCTAGCAATTCTCTTTCATAGGTACTATAAGCATTCTGTGCAGCATTGAGTTTCTTTGAGTAGAACGCAATTGGTTTCCAATCTTGATCTTCCAACTGTTGCAATACTGATCCTATAACAAAGTCTGATGCTTCTATAGACAAAGATAAGGGCAATCCATGTTTTGGAAAACACAGAAGAGCAGCATTGGCTAAATCAGATTTACACTTCTCGAATTGGCGAATTCCTTCATCTGTCCATGGAACTTTATGACAATCTTTCTTTTTGGCACCCTTCAACATTTTATACAGGACTGCTTGAGTTTCTGCGGCATTCTTCAAGTAGCGGCGATAAAAGTTGATCATACTCGGGAATGTACAAAGCTCCTGTATTTTTACGGGTAATTTATAATTGCAAATTACCTCAACTTTTTCTGGCAGTGGACGAGAACCTTCTGCGGTTATGAGGTAACCCAGATATTCTACTTGAGCAACTCCCATTTCTGATTTTGCTATATTAATACAAAGTCCATACTGCTGCAGTCGGTCAAAAACTAATTTTAAGTGCAACTTATGCTCTTCCTCTGATGCAGAGGTGATTAAGATATCATCCAGGTATGTTAATACAAAATCCAATCCAAGTAATACCTCTGTAATGAAATGTTGGAAAGTAAATGGAGCATTAGGAAGTCCAAAACTCATCACATTAAACTCAGACTGAAAGGTATTGTTATAGCAGTCTTCGGTTTGTCCTCTTTGGCAATGGGAATCTGGTAATATGCCTTTTCTAGGTCAATTTGAGAAAATATCATTTTATCTTTTAAAATATAATTAAAAGCTTCAATTCTGGGAATGGGGTACCTATCTGGTATAGTTTGTGCATTGAGACATCTATAGTCTCTGCATGGTCTCAGTGTACCATCTTTCTTATTAACCAAATGGAAGGGACTAGCCAACTGAGATTTCGATGGCCGAATGATGTTATGATCCAGCATGAATTGAAATTCTTGCTTTTGCTAACTTCAGTTTTTCACGATCCATCTGTCTAGCTCTTGAGTACACAGGTTGACCTGTAGGAGTTATATAATATTTAACAGTATGTTTTATGGCTTTAGTAAACAAAGTTGTTTTTGTTAAATTGAGATTTTTGCGCAACAATTCAAAATATTTTGATGTCTTACTAACAGTACTTAAATTATCATTTTGAATGGCTGTAACTTCCCCATTGACAGAATAGTTGGTTACACCATCAATTAATTTTTTGTTATATATATCAATCAACTATATGAATTTATTTTAAAAATCGGCTCCAATTATCCCTTTGGAAACTTTAGCCACAACAAATGGCCACTGAAATGGTTGGTGGAGACCTAAATGTAATGAAAACATTTTTACACCGTATGTGGGTATCTCAGTATCGTTTGCTGCATATAGTTTGTAGTCACAAACTTTAGAGTCAGTTTTAGAAAGGGATACAATTAGTACATCAGCACCACTATCGACAAGGAATTGGCAACCCTTTTTTTTTTTCAAAAATAGACGGAATTTGCGGCAATTGGTTTCGTCTGCAGCAGAACTTACCGCCACATCTACTGCTGAGATCGGTTTTCCAACTGCAGGGGGGGAGGGAGACATTTCTCAGGGAAACACATTTTTACCAAAAAGAAAATGATAAAAACACAACTTGCCTTTGGGAACGTATCTCTTACAAGATTTACTGCGGCTTCTTTTCCTGAAGTGACTGTAGCCACGATTAGGACTACAGGACTGTCTTTGCTCAGACTGCATACTTGCTATTTGTAATTCAAGTGAAGAAATTTTCGCAATTAAATCATCCATACCAGCTGGCTTAGCGTGGATAGTGGACAATTCTGGGGATCGTTGAGTCATTTCCATTATTTTATCTGCCAATTTCTCCAGAGATTCTTCACTTACAATAAAGATGTTCTTAACAGCGTCGCGCACTTTGTGCGATATGTGGTTTGACCCAAGTGAACGCATTTTTCGTAACAATTGGCTTGGCATCATGTCATCTAATTCCAGTCCAGTAATTAAATAACTTATTCTTTTATTCTCACTCTCTTTGAAAGTACTCTCTTTCTTTTGCAGCTGTATATTTCTGCTTTGAACCATCTTTGATAATATCCCATATATTTTCTATGAATCGAGGTTTCGACTGTGCGACCAAGTAACTGAATTTCGTATCCTCTGCTTTAATACCACAAATCTGGAACTGGGCTTCTACCTGGTAAAACCACATTCCGGGCTTATCAATCCAAAATGGTGGAATTTTGATGCTAACTGAACTTGGCTCAACCACGTTTCTTGTTTCTGTGGTATCATCCAGCATGTTGATTATATGTCCAAAGTCACTAATTATTGGTATTTTATGTTCTTAGGCTGTATGTGCTATTGTCAAGCCTAATTTGAGAATAAAAATTCTGTTGGCTGCTGCCGCCATCTGTTGAGGGATTTTAAACTATTTTTTGTTCCAATAAGTGTAATATAGTTGAAATACTTTTAAGCTGCCCTTCAAGCTCAAGAGGATTAAAGCAAATTTTCTCTTCTTTTGATTAAGTTTAAAAATTACAAAATAGATTATTACATATAACCAAAAAGTGTAAAATGAAGTTTTAACTGTTAGTTAACTTCAAATTAAATGTTATAACCTTCCAAATGCTGCCTAATCTTCTATTGAGAATCACAGCAAGTTAATGCAAACAACAGAAATGCAAGTTAGAAAGCAGCATGTTTAGGCTGTCAAGTACTGTCTGGTAAATATTAAAATTAACTTTTATTTATATTTTAAACTAACACTTTCTTATAGAAGTTGATAAAAGTAGAAGTGTATGACAACCAAAATGATAACTGATTAATTAAAGTAAAACTTTGCAGTCATATACCATATCTAAATAAGGATGTATTGAAATAGGTGTGTTTTTTCATATTTTAAAATTTCTGCAATCTGACTTTAAATTCAATATTTTGTGGTTAATCAGCTGGCAAACCTAATAATTATTGTTAATGATGTTTTTGTGTAAATTGTTTTTAGTCAGTGTTCATTAAGGTAACAGTTAAGTTTTATTTCTCTATAGTATTTTGTTTTGATGAGCAGTGGCTATTACAGAAATATTTCATACCTAGAATATTATGTGAGAAGGTAAATTCATTTTGGTAAATGGATGAACAATATATAAAAATCAACAATGGCTGATTTCAAATTTAAAAAAAAAAAAGAAAGAACTCGGTACTTTTCCGTTTCGCCGACGCAAATCTCGCCAAGCAGACTTTGTTGGCGACAGCATGCAGTATGCACATAAAAAATTTAGTTCTAAGAATTCTTTATTTTGAAGGCATAAACATGATGATGTTGTGTCTATGGCAAAGTGCAATCATATAGCTGCGAAGCTGTCAAAGACAGCTTTTGCAACCTCGGCAGCTCTATCAGCATAAAGAAGGTCCGCTGGGTCTTCAATGCCGATGTTAAACAGTCTGGCCTGGATTGCTGGGCAGCTGAAGATGTGATGGCGAGACAGTAGGATGTCATCTGGGCAATGAGGCATAAACATATTAATATGATTTAAAATTTTGTAAAAAGCCAATAAATAAAGAAATAAATTTGTAAAGAGACATTAATTTAAGAATTTACTATGCTTTCATGGTTCAACATCCTGATTCGCCGGTTTGTATCACGTGACCCAAAGTGATCTCATCTTGTGTGAACTACACTACAAAATATAATTCTCTCAGTAATTGTCTACATTAATTTCAAGTTAAATCTTAATTTGGAATACAAGTTTAAATGCAAGAATTATTTCAATTCGTACAAATAGCTTACTCAGAAGTTATGTAAAACCACAGTGCTTTACTTTGCTAGTGCATTCTCATTAGAATTGATGAATTTAACCCTTAATTTTGCCTTTCCTATATTTTCGCCTTCGGGTGAGTGGTGTGATTGCATCCTAATTGACTTAATTACCGCAAATGATCTTAGGGTATAAAATTTAACTATCTTTTGTAAAAACTCTATGTAATTGTATGCCAGTATTGAAAGAAACAATCAATCTGATAAGAAATGGCTGTGGCTTGTTTTGAAAATGAAGCGTAAAATGTGACCAGCGAAGATATTCCGTTTGGCATCAGTTGTACCATTACTGGATGCATTATCGTTTGCACCAGCAAAACGGAAAAGTACTAAAACTCTTTACCTTCTTCATTATGTTTTAGTATGGGAATATTTACAATAAACTATTAAAAAAAAACTTCATAATGACCCTTTATTATCTTTCTGAAATTTTATATGAATTGTATGATTTTTACTCCTATTAATGTATTGTTACAGCGGAAAGGAAAACATCCTTAGGATATGAGTGGCATCCTGAGTGTTTAAGATGTGAAGAATGTGGCAAGCGGTTAAATCCAGGTCAACATGCTGAGGTAAACAGGTAGCACTTTTTTAATTATTAAATATTCGATTTTGCATATGTGTATGAATATACACTAGATAGTTTTGATAAATTATTTGGAAGAACAGCTGTCTTTGTTAAGTTTTGTTTAGCATCTACATATGTGTTGTACCTTTGATGACAAACCCTCCATTGTAAAGACTATTTTCATATGTTATATATTTCTTCTTATCAAAGACATCATTTTTATTAATATTATTATCTTTTTCTTTTTACATATAACATAGCATTTGTGATTAACGATGAGAGAATAAAAATCTACTTTCAGTAGAAACATTTTATAAAAATCACTTACTTAATCAAATAAAAATTTTTTGATATATCTGTTTGTGCATTTTGCTAATTCAGCAGTGAAATTCTTATAAATAAATTTTGAAAAATACTTCTTTAAATTTCTTTGGAAATGCTTGTAGTGTTGAATTCCTAAGACTTAGCAGTTTCTTTTTAATCTCTTTTAAAGAAATTCAGTTTTCTGCATATGGACTAATGATTTCAATTTTTATTCATGTGATGAGGTTATCTTTAAATCACCAATTTATATCATGATGCTTACGGAGACCAAATAATGATTTATATATAGGCATATCAATATCTGATTAAATAAGACTCTGGGCACTGTAGTTCATCCTTAGTTCTAATTTCTCATTGAATGAATTGGTATGTGGGCTTAGAGGTAGAAAAACGGAAAGTCATTAAAAAGTATTTAAAAAAAATCAAAACAATAAATTATCCCTTTCTGCTACATTTTGAAAAAGCTCTATTGTTATCAGTTAGCATGATATCGATCAAAGGAAAATTAAAAGGATTTTTTTCTCTTTCTGCTAAGAGAGCTTTGCAAATGGTTTCAAGGGAAATGGCAGATCTATAATGGCCAAAATTTTAACATCTTTAAAATCTTTTAGAACATTTGTTATTGACTAGCCCAGCATCATTTAAATGTTGAAAAATGAAATAATGAAGTCCAGTGCTAATGGATGATCACTTCATTCGAAAATAGATTAGAAAAAATCTTTCCTTTCATTTTAGCCTAAGTACCCTGTACATTTCTCGGGAGGATAATTCAAAAAGCTCATAAAGTGTTGCATACATGCATTACATCAGTATTTAATCTGAAAATTTATGTAGCAGAATTTGTGTTGCAATCACAAATTCTTTTCAATGCATGATTTGAAGCAGAAAACTGTTGTACTGCAACATTTGCCATACTGCAACAGAAGAGCTTATTATTGAGTGAATTAAAAAATTTTAAAAAAACCTTCCCGAGTTTTCATCGTGGAAACAGTAATTGACAAATAAAATTTTAGTAAGTTTCTGCTTCTACATGAACTTTTTAAGATGTCTTGCTGTTGCAACATCGTCATATGCTATTTGACAGATTGAATAAAATTTCATTTTGTGTGGATTGGAACTGTGATGGTTACTCAGCAATATGTTCTTGGAAGAAACTAAAAGCATCAATTTCATTGTTTGGTAGATTCCATAGGCCCATGATCTCCAGAAAAATATCTCCATTCTTAAAACTTTGGCTTATAGGCATTCTTAAAACTTAGCAACATCATATGGTTGCAATAGCAATTAATTTTTATTATGATGCCAAAGTTAGTTGCTAGTAGCTCTTTTTTTTTTTTTTTTTTTTTTTTTTTTTTTTTTTTTTTTTTTTTTTTTTCTCATATTTTGGATTTTTTTTTTCTCCTTTATTACACATGTGCCTGAAATTCTTTGCCGTATGTTCTACTATTCAATATGTTCTCTTTCATTATTTTATAAAAAGTAGATTAAGAGTCAATACATATATTTATAGCCAAGATTTCTGCATAAACTGTACTTACATATACAGTTAAAAGTCGTTAATCCAGACTCGTCGGGACTTCAGCGATTCCAGATTATCGATTTTTCCGGTTTATAGATCATCAGTTTAAATCTGGTAAGATGGCATGCAGAAATTATAAAATTAAATATAATATATATTAATTATAAAATTATGAAACCGTAATTTATGAAATAAAGAACAATTATGATCTAAAGGGTATCAAAATTTATATATATATATATATATATATATATATATAAAAAAGCTTAATTTTTATTTGTTTACTTTATTAAACATTTCTTTCATTGTAAGTTGTTTAAGTTGTTTCGTTTCATGTGATAATACTTTCTCTTTAATTCTATTAAACAGACATAATTTCTTCTTTAGTTACAAAGTTCCACTGTTTAAGTCCTATAATTGCTGTGTCGAGAATACCGACTAATTTGTCAATCGAAATTTTTTCGTTTTCAATAACCTCTGTGTCACTTTCTTCACTATTGGAAGCAAATTATGATGAGGAACTTGATTTAAATCATATCAAAGACAGAGTACATCAAGATGAAATACTTCATTTAGTAAGGAATTATAAGCCAAATAAAATAAAACATCTGCCCTGAAGATAAGGATAGTGCTGACAGATTAACTTCCAATTCATTGCACGCCGCGTCGTTTCCCTCCCCCCGCAGAGCAGCGTGAAATTCATTAACATATTTCCGAATGATTAGATAATCAAAGGATATGCCTTTATCCAATTTTTGCAGCAATTCCACTTTCTGCTTAATGGACTCCGAAACATACTTTCCCTTTGTAGATCCTTTACATATTAGTAAATATATATCGTAAATTCTATTTGACATAATCGAAAGTTCAAGCTTACTTTTATAAAATTGCTCTAACAGTGTGCAAAAAATAATAAGCGGGATTCAATTCGAAGATTAAGGAACAATGCAATCTGCTACATTAACTGAATTAGATAATTTTAGCTTAGCTTATACCATCCGTTATACATTAAACGCGCATGCGTAAACATATTATGCGCATGTGCACATGCATATTCGCAGCCGTAAAGGTCTTATTTGCACGCGTAAACGCCTATGCGCAGACGCATGCGCAGAAAGTTTGTAGCTTTGAAGTCCGGATTATGGGTTTCTGAATTAATGACTTTTCACTGTATTATTTGAAATCCCATACTGCACTATTAACAGAGTTCACAAATCTGGAAGCTTATAATGAATAATATAAGTAAGACTTGTTTTTCCTTTTAAATGTTTAGTGAAATACTATGAAGAAAATTGTCTGGCTATATTAGTTACATTTAAAATTTAATAGAAAATAAATCATTTCCTAGATCATTAGAATTTCTTTCTGTCACATTCTTAAAGAAACAATATTAATTCAAACATGTTGTTATGCGCAGAAAGTTTGTAGCTTTGAGGTCCGGATTATAGATCATTCTGGATTATGGGTGTCCGAATTAACGACTTTTGACTGTATATATATATATATTTTGATGCAAATAATTTCATTTCATATAGCAGCATTTTATTTAAGGTTGACTTTTAATTACATTTAAATTTGGATTGCTGTTCATTATATCATTGGAAACTTAAAGCTTTAATTATATTATGTCGTAGCTTTTAGTTTTTTGTGTGAGCAAAAACTTAAAAATTTTCATTCATCGAGGTTTCAACTTGCTTTAGAATGTGATTGCTCAGAATGGAGTTTTTAAATGTGTTTCAAATTATTAGCTTCATATTGGAAGTGTTGGAAAGCTCAGAGGAAAAAAAATCTCACAACGGAAGGTCACAAATGGAATCTCAGAATGGAAATCACGAAATGGAAGCATTTAAACTGTTTTAAAAAGAAAGCCAAATGGAAGCAAACTTTCTTCTAATTATTTTCTTATTGCTGATAAGGAGTGACTTTGATTGATGTGAATGTCTGCATATAGTCCTTTCTGATCATATTGCAAAATTCTAGCATGTGTTGTGTCATAATTTTTGCTTCAGTCCAGTGCTAAGAATGGAGAATCCAGAAGTTCATTTGTATTATACCATGCTCTTTTATTTTAAAAAGGAAGAAAATGCTAGTCAAATTGCTTATAAATTTGTGCGATGTACAGACATGCTGTTTCTGATGACATAGTTTGAACGTGGTTTGGGAAGTTAAAGCTTGGGTAAACCTATTAAAAGAAGTATTGTAGGGAACCCTTTTTTATAAAGTTCAGGAACTATCAGACAGAACAGATTTTCCATAAAGTACAGTGATCATTTAGAAAAGTTATTCTGCCATGATATATGGATACCTTGTACTTTAACAGAACAGAATTTGCTTGCTCAAGTTTTGCCATATGATTGATGCATGTGAAACGACTCGTTACCAGAGTTGCGAAGTCAGAGTCGTAGCTAGGGTTTTCAGCACCCAGGGACAACTGAAGATTTCGCGCCCCCTACTGCTTGCCAAGGAAGGAAAACATTTAATTCTAAAATGTCGTAACATCAGTTTGGCGCCCCTTGGATTCTGCGCCCGGAGACAGATGCCCCCTTGCCCCCCCCTCTAGCTATGCCCCTGTGCGAAGTGGATACTATGCAATTATGTTATAAGAAAAAGATTGTGGGATAAGCCAAAAGCCTCCTTTAAAATGGAGGGCTCACCAGCGGCCGAGTAGTAACGTCGCTGAACACTGGTAGTTCGGTCCGACGTTCGGATCCTGTGAACGGGCTGGCTGCATGGGCGTTTTCATGGTTTTCCCCATGTGTAACATGTATACAAGCCAGTTTGCCTTAGAAAGTCCTCCACAAAGGCATCTCTCCCTTAAGGCAGATAGCCCTCAAGTGCCTTGCCATAATCTAATAAAACCAAAACCAAAAACCTTTAAAATGGAGAGGGATCTGCACCCCAAAAAAATAATGATTTATGTGTGCTAAGACTACAGAGGAACTGTATACTGGAAATTATTGCTCTTAGAAAATAAGTTCAGAAAAATACGATTTCTAAATGTAGTTTAAAAGGAGGAATTAAATCTGCAAGTTTCATCATGACAGTGCTGAGTTCCACTTTTCGATGAATGTCAGAGAAAGGCTTATTGAGCATTGATGAAATGTTTTATGTCACCTGCCGCATTCACTGCATCTTATCCTTTCAGATTTTTATCGCATCAGGTCACTTCAAAATTCTCTGAATGGCCTGGAGTTTACTTCTTTGAAGACTGTGAAACAGTACGTTGATAAAGTCTTTACAGATGAACATTATGACTATTTTAAAGAGATATTACAGCTGTCTGAAATGAGCCAAAATATCATATTATAAAATGGTGTTTAGTGGTAGGAGTCAAATTCAGTTTCTTATGTTTTTGTACTGTTTTTTTTTTTTTTTTTTTTTTTTTTTTTTGTATTTATCACTAAAAAAATATGCAAAACTTTTTGGATGGCCCAGTACATAATTCTGAGGACTATTTTTTAAGGAATTTAAAATATCAGTATCCAAAAATTTGTATTCCAAAGATAAGGAACAAGTGTTACAGAATGTCTGCCCCATTCGTAAGTTTGCTTATGATATGTTGGCTCCATACGACTGATTTTTAGATTCCAATTATAAAGATTTTTTACATATTTAATATCCTAATGTCCATCCCCCATTTCTTTTCTCTCCCCCCTTTTTTTAATTGCATCTAACAAATATAAGTAGTGTTGCATGCTATCTTTTGTTTATCTGGTATTCAATTCAGTTCAATTTTTTTTTTTTTTTTTTTTTTTTTTTCTGTAGCATAAAGGAGTTCCGTACTGTCACATACCTTGTTATAGTGTCCTTTTTGGCCCTACTCTTTTTGGTCATGGATCACAAGTAGAAGCACATACTAGTTTTGGAAAAGTTGAAAACCGTCAAGGAATTCCTGTGCCTAGGTATGATTTTAAGCATGCATTCTAATAAAATATTTTACTCAGAATAAATCATACATTTAAAAATGCTTTAACATAAAGTATAATTTCCCCCCTTCCAAATAGCTGTTTGATTATTTTAACTTTTTTTTTTAACAACAAATAAGCATAATGTTGTCAGTCTGCCAGTTTATTAAGATTAAACTGTATAAATGAAAATGATGAAAGTACACTAGGATCCTGGTTATCCAACGTAAAATAGGCTCTTGGCTAGCAAAAACTTAAATAAAATGAAAATTTGCAGCTATTTTAGATAAAATATGGTGACATAAAAAGTATTCTGCATGTAAAATAAGATGCAATATGATATTTAGATTTTCTCATATACTTTAGAATATCTGATACAATAGGATAGTCGCAATGATTAGAGTAATTTACTGGTTAAGTCTTTTTTTTTTTTTTTTTTTTTTTTTTTTTTTTTTTTTTTTTTTTTTTTTTTTTAATATCTTTACCCTGCAGTGTCACCAAGAGGTTCTTTGTGATACTCCAAAAATTTTATACTTTAAAAAGGTTTCCATATGAAGGTGCAAGAATATGTAAAACATGTTTTCCATCTTTGGCAAATGTTAGCTAACAGAGAGCAGTCCCTAGTATTGTGAAAAAAAATCTTTGGATAATGATTGTTTTGTGGAATAAATCTTTTAAATATGAAATAAATTTATAAAATTAATTGCTTTACTATTTTCCTCAAATTACAAGATAAAAAATATTGCATAAATTAATCTGTCTTTCCATTTTACTATAAAAAAATCAATAGTTAATCTATTACTCCAATCCCAAAATTATTCTCTGAGAAATCGTAGTTATTCAAATTACAGCCTAATTACTTAATATTTCACCACTGCTGGTAAAAATTTTATAAAATAGACATCTAATGATGCTTTCAGCTTGCCAAAATTAGGAAACATCGCATTTGATAGTTTTTATAACAGGGTTTCCCCCCACCCATTCAAGAATTACCTTGAACAATCTTATATATTTTGAATTTATAAACTAGATACCTGCATATTAGGTCATCTGATTCACAGACTTACTTTTGCCAACTTCCTTATAGTGACTTTATAAGAAGGCCCAACCATTGTTGTTAGATTTAAAACTTTTGAGAATTAGTTCACATCCTAAATAACCAATAGAGTTAGCTACAAAGTAACACAAATTCTATGTACAGTACAAAATCTTTATCCGGGCTCATCGGGGCTTTGGTGATTCCGGGTTATAAATCATCAATTTAAATCTGGTAAGATGGCATGCAGAAATTATAAAATTAAGAATATGAAACCGTAATTTATGAAATAAAGAGCAATTATGATCTAAAGGGTAATAAAATTTACAAAAAAAAAAGCTTAATATTTATTTGTTTACTTTATTAAACATTTCTTTCAATGTAAGTTGTTTAAGGTGCTTCGTTTTTTGTGCTAATACTTTCTCTTTAATTCTCTCTTCTATGGATCTTGGATCTTATCTTTACAGCTGGCATTAACTACAAGGAGTTCTAACCAGTATCCTGAAAATTATAACCATTTAAACATTTGCTTGGTTTTAAAAGAAATCAAAGATGTACTTCTAGTACATCATCGCAGGAGGCAAAAGTTCAAAATGCGAGTTCATGAGTATGTAAAATAACGAAAGATGCTCAATCTTGTGTTACGCTGGCGTGGAAGCAGTCAGAGGAGAAGTCATGTATTCTTGAGAAGGCACCTGGTTGATTGAAATCAGTAAAAGTTCTGAATTTAACGATAAAAACACTTAATATGTAATAAATTTATGTATATTCTTTTAAAACATCTCTCTTCTATAAACAGTATCTCTTCTCTTTATGCGCATGCGTAGCAGACGTGTGCATTAAACGCACATGCGTAAGCATATTATGCGCATGCGTAATACATTTATGCATGCGCATAAAGTTTGCAGCTTTGAGGTCCGGATTATAGATCATTTCAGATTATGGACATCCAGAGTTTGTACTGTGCATAAAAACATTTCATAAAAATTTTAAATTCAGCTTCATATAAAAACTAAAAAGATTATGATTTCAAGTCAAAATCAAAAAGAAATATAATGTTATGCTCACAAATTTATTCCTCATCACCTTATTATAGTTATTATTGTCGTTTTATTATCTTATATTGAGAACATTTGACTAGTCTTATTTCAAGATCTGAGCTTATTTCATCCAACAACTTCCACTGCACTTCCAGTAGGTTTAGGTTTTACAAAATCTGTCATTAGAGACTGTTTGCTCTTACTTTGCAAATGTTTATAAATTTCTGAATAACCAGATAAGCAGTTTTGAAGATTTCTTTTAAATATTTTTGCCCTCTTTGGCAGTGGTTCGTTCTCTAAAATGTAAGATTGTATCTGTTTCGTTATGTCCAAACATTTTTCTATACCCTTCAGAGTGATGTTTTTGATTTCTTCATTGTAAAACCTCCAGAATTATCTTCAGTTGGTAATATTTCATATAATTTTGGAAAAGCAAGCAAGCCACAACTGTCTTGCAGAGATGATGCACTGGCTCTACAATAAGAAATGAGAATGAAAGTGCATTCGTGATTGTTCCTGAATGCCCTTAATTTTGAACACCAGCTCATTTCAGGAGATGTTCCTGCTGAATTGGTGCAAACTGACTTATTGCCACCACTGGAACCAGGGTTTGTACATTTCTTAAGAGTCCTGAAAAAGTCCTTAGATTTTTTTGAATTGATTTTTGGTCCTTAAAAGTCCTTAATTTTAGCCAAAATCAGCAGAAGGTCCTTAATTTTAATCATCTGAAATTTCTGTCTAATTTTACGACTGCTATTTTGAGTGTGAGTTAGCATTTTGGATGAATATTTTTGAGGATTCACTGATGTATATATGGTTATCTTAATGGGTTCATGAGTTGTATTTTGTTTTATTTCTAATATAAATTATGGGATACTCAAGTTTTTAAGCAAGAAGTGAAACATAAGCATTTTGAAATCATTTCTCTAATAAAGAACTTTTAGCTTTGGGGATGTGAATTCTTTTATTAAATGGTTCTAAATTTGGCGACTATTCAACATTTTGACGATTTTAAGATCAGTTTCTCTAGAAACTTTCGGAGATCTGAGAATTTTTCGACAATTTTATTTAAAACATCGTAACATTAAATTTCATTAAAATAATGGTAATATATTGAAATTATATTTAAAAAATAACCTTAAAATAAAACATTTGTATTTTTCGCTGTCATATTATAAAGCTTCATTTTGGCAAATTATTATACAATATTTTGAATCTGAAAAATAAACAAGGTATAATGCTATAAAGTACAATTTATGAACAGATCTTAGCAAAAGCAAAATTACTAAGTAACTTTTACCAGATCAAGTAAACCATCATAGGTACGTTATGGAAAGGTTGACAAGTTACGCAGAAAATTAGCGAGAGCATTGGTTTGCATATTAAAACAAATCTCTAACTGTTAGAAAAGATGCTTAACAGAAGGAAATCGATATAAACTAGCCAAAATTTCTGCGAAGGCTTCCAATTAAAATGACGGATAAATATTTTGTTGAGTGTTGTTGTTACAAAACATAAATGTTTTGTAGCTTTTAATGTGTAATTATCCTTATCATTTAAGAATCAAGTCATAAATTACTTTCTCTGGTGCACTCTGTGGAACATCTTTCTAGAAATATTTGGTTACATGGACTACTGTAGGAAACCTATTGGCACCACTCCAAATTATTATATATTGAAATTTGTATGATTTCAGGAACTATATTATAAATGTATATTATCTTATATTATAAATGTATATACAGTATTCTTAAATATGTATTTTTTGTAATGATGTCTAAAATCCCATTTCAAAGCATTGAACTTGTAATATCTGAAAAAGTTTTCTTTTTCAGGTCCCACTTAGAAGCTAAATTGAGAATTTATAACAGCTATTTTGAAGGCAAAAGTGGAACTATACAAAGTCGTGAGGTGTATAACAGTATTTTTATGTAAAATTTTCTATTATTTTGTTATTTTTAAAATTTGGTGTATTAGTAAGCTTTAAAATTCCAGTATTGTAGCAAACCTGAACAATAACTCTAAATTCTTCTGAATAACTAATAATAACTCAGAAGTCTTCTAATTTGTAGTATTTGTATTAATATTTATTAATCTATTTTATTAAAATGTGCACTTAACAATTAGTAGGAAAAATTAAATAGCTTATTAGAGAAATCAAACAAGAAGAATGAGCCTAATATTTGTAAATTTTGCATGACTAGTTTTGTTGGTTTAACTACAGCCTTTAACTTTTACTTCTGCCTCAGCTGCCCAAGTGCAAATAAGATATGGTGATAAGATATGGATATTGCAATAAAATATGGTGATAAGAATGACTGGAAAGAAGTTCAGCAATTCTGCCATCTATTGATGAAACAAGAAAACTAAAACATAATTTCCTTAAAGGCTGAAGGTAAAGATGGATTGTAATTAGGGTCGTTAACTAGAACAGAAAGATTTTTTTAATGTGAAACCACTGTTGGCTGCAGAAAAATTATTGAAAGTTTGTAACCACTGTTGGTCAGAAAAGTGTGATTTTCTGACCAACAGTGCAGGGCAATAGAGGATTTGTGTGTTTCCTTTTTCCTAACATATACCACTAGCAGCTGAACTTTTTTCCAGCCATTCTTATTTTGTTCATTTGCATCTAGGCAGCTGAGGAAGATGGTTCTGCAGTTAAACCATCAAAATAGTCCTGCAAAATTAACAAATATTACTCTGATTCATTTTGTTTGACTTATCAATAATCATTATCTGGCATGTTATTTTAATCTAAATTAAATAGCTCTTACATTAAGCCCAATTGAAATGTTTGCAAGGACAGAAAGCAGAAACTGTGACACTTTTATATTCACTATGGCACTTTTCTTGTTATGTTAATCTAATTTCATAGGTGGCTCTGCTCTCTATCTGTTATACTTTTGCATCACTGTTTCCACAGATACATATTGTGAGGTGTTTTATTGTAATTTAAGGATCTATCTATTTTAAATAATTATATATATAATGATAAAAAAATACTAGCTAGCTTTGTAATCGCTGAAAAGTCAGCTTGCTTCTGAAAATTGAGATGTCCAGTTTTATACCAAATGTTAAGCCAAAATAGTGGCTTGATATCATGCTGCTACAAAATTTTTAAAAATGCCTGATTTAGCAATGAATTTCTGGGGAGGGGAGAGGAACAGAGTTTTAAGAAATTAGTGAACGAGGAAAGTGTTCGCATGCACACATTGTAAAAAAATTTACATATGATGAAATTTAAATGTCTTGTATTGTTTTCACAGATCCTAAATTTAATATTAATAAGTAATTAAAATTACTACTCAATTCTTATAACTGATATGAAAATTTTCTTGGTTTTCTCTGAACTTAAAAACTTATGCTAGATAATAAGTGTGAATCCAGCAAAACTGAAGTTAGTATTTAAAAATATATAATGTAAGGAATAACTGGAATCTTCTTATTCAGATTTCAGTTCAGTGCATGAAATAATTTTAGGCTGAATTTTTGTGAAAACCTACTCTTCAAAAATTTAATTTGCAAAACATGAAATTAGACATTAAAAATGAGCTGTTCAAAATAGAAATAGCAAAACAACAAAAGAAATTGCATATTGATATTATTCCTTCATTAATTAATGCCATGTGCGAATTTTTGCTCTTGTCATTGCTCGAAAGAATTATTATATAGCTGTGTATTTTTTCATTTCTTCACTTTTGGCGAGAGGAAAAGCGAATTTCATGCTCTGGCTAAACATAAATTATTGCTGCTATTCCTGCTGTTGAAACAATAATTTTTATTTGTTACTTGCGTACTATGATGACTACCTAGATATCTCGCCAAAACTGGCGACCCTTGTAGGTTATACAGGTTAACCCTAACATAGGTTATAGAGGAGGAAACAGAGGGACATCATTTGGATACCTACTTAGCTGAATTTATTGGCAGAAAAATCAGTAACGACTTTCGATGCTATTTTGAAAGCTATTTTCCACCACTTTCCTCACCATTAACTTCAATGTTTCCTTTTAACCAATTTTAGGTAAGTTAATTTTAATTTTTTTAATTCGCATTATTAGTATGTAGTTATATATATATATATATATATATAATATATATATATATATATATATATTTATATATATATATATATAAATATATATATATATATATAATGCATTTATTTAATGTGTGTGTGTATATATATATATAAAGGAACAAAAACTTAAAAACAATTTTTTGTTCCTTTATAATTAGGGCTTTTATTTTTAAAAGAATTTATAAACATAAACCAAAAACCGCCAGTGAAGATTTTTATTGGCAAATGTTGCCAAGGTAGTCATCATAGTACGTAAGTACCTTTTATTTTGCTAGGACACAAAATTCTTCTAATGAAAATAGCAAAAGCTGATTTTAGATGTCATTTTAGGTTAGGTTTAAGATTAAATCTTTTATAATTACTTTCATGTAATAATTGTTGCACTTTCTAGGTACATGTTAAATTTATGTACTCAGAATTTCTACTTTGATATTCGTCTGTTCCATTTTAATTTAATGGTTTAATTGTAATAATCAACAATTTTTTATTCAACAATTCTATTCAAAACTGGAAAAATGGAAAAGGGCCTACCTGAAATTCCTTCACATTAAATCCCAGCTTTTGTCATGAATTCACTAATTTTCATGAACTCGCTACTTTTCTTCGTCCATTCTTCATCTTCACAAATCACGTCGGGTCACCAGAAAAAAATTTACATATCCAAATGATCAGAAGGTTGTTGATACGTGTTCCTTGATCTATGACACCAAGATATTTTACTGCACATTTATTTACAATTTATTTACAAGTGTTATGCCTCCTGGCATGTACATGATGCACATATTCTGCCACCTGGCATGTAAATTGATACATCATACTAGTTTTCTGCCACCTGGCAGATAAGATACAATTATATCAATTAACGGTAATGCACCTGACATTTTGGCATGTCCACTCCCTTTATGTTCTATAACACAACTAACTCTTTGTGTGGTGCGCCATCTGGCTACCAATCACTGCAGTCACCGAGGAGGCCAAAACATAATCCTCCGTACAAATTCTGTATTTCGAATTTGTTTTATTATCTATTTCATATTTTGTTAAACTACTTCAAGGAATTTTTTTATTAAAAAACTCTATGATTTCACAGTGAGCAGTGGCAACACTATATGAATAAAACATTTTTATCACCAGCGCATGAGACTGTCTATCAGAAATTCTAAAGATATAATGTTTTTAAATATTCTTAGCCCAAATGCTCTCAGAAGGTGTATATGGGTCTGTAAATGCAAAAATGCCCCTTTGGGTGTAATATAAAGTCTGAAAGCTTTCAGATTTTTTTTTCAATTATAAAATTTTTGTTTTTATTTTGTTTATTTCTTTATTAGCCCTAGGGGGCTATTAGTTTTGAAACATGATTTTATTATTTCATTTTTCATTTGAGTGTTCCATTCAGAAAACATAAGGTATTCTTCTTTCTTGTTAATCTGTCTGTTATTAGTAATTAACAAACTAAACTATTTAAAAGCAGTAGATGCAGTTCTTAATCCTCCCAATGTGATTAATTTAAAGATAAATCCATTTAATTCTCAATATATCATTAAATCAACATTAAATATTTTTACAGAATTGCATTACATATTTTTTTAACTTTTTAAATACATTTCCATCTTAGTCTAAATGGATATTTATTTAATATCTTATAAAGTGTTTCACTATTCCACCTGAGCCATGTCTATTGGTAATGTCTACTGGTAAACCATTTTAAACTATAAAAGAGCCAATTTGAGTGATTATTAAAACCTTCCAGATTTTTTTTTTTTTCTTTTTTTTTTTTTTTTTCTTTTTCTACTTCCTTGTACAAAGTAAAGGAAGTATTGTAATCACGAAAAATTTCGAATATCAAAAATATCCATTTTGAGGGTTTTTTTGGGGGGGGAGGTTGATGTCTATATGTATGAACAGAATAAAGGACTCTTTTATCCAAAACAGATTGTAAAATGAATTTATGAAGCATCGTTTATTGTAATCATATACTACCAATTATAGAAGTGCTTTAAATGATGAAACTATTCATCTTTGGGCAATGTCAAATTAATAATTATAATAATTTTGGACAAATAACAAAATATAACTTTAAATACAGTCTCCTGGTTCTTATATTCCGGAAAGTTTTATACTCATTGTGAAAAAAATAAAATTATAAAACATTTGTCTTCTGTATGACAAAAATAGATAAAAATCTATATATTTAATAAATTATTTATTAATAGACAAAAATTAATATGTTTTTGTTTTGTACTGCTGGCCATTAAAATTGTAATATCATGAAGGAAAGCAAATACAAAAAAAAAAAAAAAAAAAAAAAGGTGTTTATTGTTTGTAAGTAGTTTGGGGTTTTACAAGGGTGTGAAATTAGTAAAAACAGCCACCACCCTTGGCATCTAAAATGGCCCGTACCTGGTTAGGCATGGAGTCGAATTGGGTTTGGATGACACAAATGGGCAACTCATTCCATGCTGCCTCAAGTCTATGTTACACTTCATCAACCATATTAACTGGAGAAGGGTGGCGGGCCAGTCTCTCAGCAAAACCCATGACCAGATGTTTTCAATGGGTGACAGATCTGAAGACCATGCAAGCCAGGGCAGCAATCAAATACCCTGTGTATGGAGGAAGGTCAGAACACAATGTGCAACATGTGGTCTTGCATTATCTTGTTGGAAGATGGTGTTTGGCAGGCCTCGAAGATAGGCACAACCACTAGACGTAAGATGTCAGAAATGTACCAATCTACTTTTAGATTACCATGCAGAGATGTGCATATTGTGCACTCAATGGCTATCCAAACCACTACACCAGGTGCAGGGCCCCTGCACTAATATCAAAT